ATCTGTTGCTTGTGCTCTATTGTACTGTGAAATAAAACTTGCTCCCAGTAAAGATAAAGAAGAGCTTAGTCTTTCAACTGAAGACGGGGATTGGGGGCAGGTATTCTTTAGCCATCATTTCCTGGGGCTGTGAGCGTTCCCACAGTCCAGCTACTGCACACAACCCTCCTGGGCACTCGGACCAGAGCCATGCCCAGGAGCAGGTACTCGGGAGGCTGAGCAATGCCACAGCTCTCGGCTTCAAGGCAGAACACAAAACTTGAATCCGAGTGCCTGATGCCTCACTTAGCTGCCTCTTATCGTTTTGTTTTCCATGGTGCTGGGGAGGGAAGTCCAGGCCTCACACATGCCAAGCAAGCTCCCAGCTGTACCGCCAGCCCTGCACAAGCTGACCACAGCTCAGGAAAGAGTCTGATCTTCGGGAATGCTGTGGATCTTAAATGTCACCAAAGGCTCCCTGGTGCTGAAGACTCCATCCCTAAACTGTGGTATTGCCAGACTTGGTGGAGCTGGGGGTGAAAGCTAAGGCCTGGTGAGGATTACCCGGACCCAGCACCTCCTCTCTGCTCCCCACTGTGACGCACCATGTCACCACAGGCCTGAACCAGAGATAACAACCCTTTCAGAGATGAGTGTCCAAAATGCAACCCCAAAACCATTTACTTATTGCAAAATGCCCACAGTGCAATTAAATCTTAGTACTAAGGTTTTAATTTAGAAAAGGCAGTTCCTGCTTTGCAGCTTTTGACTTAAAAACAAGCACCACGTGTGCCACAGGTTCCCTCTTCGGCCCTAGGTTGTGGTCCCGAGTGACAAGCCCTGCCAGTGGTTAGGTCAAGCCAGAAGAAACCCCTTCTCCTTTTCAGTTGTTTATTCAAGCACATTCCACAGCCTGGAAAGAGAACCACTGACTTAGTCACTGTCCCACTGCCGGACCCAATGCAAAGCCCTAGAGCTGAAGAAGACAGGCTTATTTTGGCTCTTGTTTCCAGTCTGCTACTGTCAGGTGCCTGGAAGGAAGGGCCTGGCCAAGCAGAGCAGCTCCTCCACAACCCAAGGCGTGGTCACAGAGAGAGGGAGGAGCAGAGCTGGCAGACCCTCCAGACTACGCCCTATGACTGCCTCCATCACCAGGCTCCAACTCCAAAGAGCATTGCTCTCTGCAAAAGAATCTGGGACTTTCCAGACCAGCACTGTAAAAGCCGTCATGCTTAATTATCCAGAATGTGTTTTATTGAGCTCTGATCTCAACCTCAATGTGACTGAAGTCTAAACTTACAGCCAAGTGACAACCAGCAGTTCCACGCCTGCTGCTGCAGAGGCCCTGCCTCAGGGAACCGGTAAAGAGCAGCCAAGCCTCAGAAACCTCTGCTCTCAGTCCCACGGCCCTGGCTGCAGCTCCAAGTTTCAGGCACTGCCTGGCCCACTGACACGTGCATGGGGACCTGTTCCATAATCAATTGCACCCTAAACATACTAGCACTGCTGGCAAGCACTCTGGTTCTGCTAACACTATCCACTGCCCTCCACACCACATTTCATTCATTTCAGAACAGATTCTCCCAGCGATGAGCACCTAACCCCACCCGGAATCTCTAGGGCAAGTGCTTGCCTGTGTCAACTCGAAAAGGTATCTCCAATGTCTAGGAAGATAGCTCCTTGAAGAATAAGACCAAAGCAAAAGCCAAGCATGTTGGTGCACGCCTGTAATCCCAGCACTAAGGAGGCTGAGGTAGGATGTTCATCTGGAATTTGAAGTCAGCCTTGGGATACATAGTGAGATTCTCTCTCTCTCTCTCTCTCAAAAAAAAATAATAATAATAACCAAATCATTCATAAAAGGATGAAAGAATACATCTCATATGCTTCCAGTATTCACTTTTCCCTGAAAAAGAAAAGAAAAACATGTTGAGGCATGGTCCATGATGCAGGTGGCAGGCTCTTCAGAAGGTAACTGGCTGTAGAGGTTCATGGCATTCTGATAAGAGTAGGTGGTGTTGTTTGCATCTAGGTCTCCCCCAACAGCCTCATGCAGTCTAGCATGGGAGCAGGTGTCTAGAGGCTGAGATTAATTCATGATCCGATGCTGGGTTATGGGTGTGAGTGCTGCTGGGATTATGGGTGTGAGTGCTACACCTGCCCTGGGGCTGATAGACTGAATACAACATAAGGAAAGGAGAAAGGCAGCTGCTGCAGCTCCTTTTTGGCTGTTTTTCTATTTTCTGCTGACATGAACTACTGCCCTCTGCCATGTGCCGCTCTGCCTTGGAGCCAGCCAAGTATGGACTGAAACCTCCACCAACTGTGAGCTAAATAAACCTTTCCTTCCTTAATTTGTGGTGTTGGATATTGTGTCCAAGCAATGAGAGAAAAGTAACCGAGACACTAGATTAGGTCTCCGTTGGCCTGGGTTAGTAGCTGAGAGAGTAAGCTTGTATTGCAGAACTCTGCCACCCTGTCTGTCTTGCCATGTGACCAACCATGTGACCCTTCCTCCACAGACAGCTACTCCTGGCCTCCAGAGCAGTGGGAGAACCAAGCCTCCTTTCTCCATGGATTTTCCAACCCCAGATATTTTGTTGCAGCTACAGAAAATGGTCTAAGACATTGTCTTCAAATACTGGAGGACTGAGGTAGAGCTTGCAGCCCTTGGGGCTACAGACACACAATGGTTTGATAGGAATGGCAGATGCATAGAACTCTTCCTGAGCTGAGACCCAAACCCGGACAACATGCCACAGTCCCAACAGTGGAAGGTAGGACCCACAGGCTGGGGTGACAGGGAACAGGCCCATGTGGCAGCCAGGACTGAGCATGTGTGCCCAGGCCCGAGATGTGCTAAGCACATTTCTCCTTTTCTTCCTTCTCCTGGGGTCAATGATGGCCTTCTTAGTGCTACCCTGCAATGAGGCAATCAATGTGTGTTGGGAAATTGGCAAGGCCGAAATGTTGTTGAGCCTTTTTCATTTTCTCTTGCTAGTAGTTGTGTGCAATACTGTGGACTGGGGGTAAACAAAAGAGGTTAATTTTAGCTCATCGTTCTGACTCAAGACTGAAGGCCCACATCTGGCACTGGCCCTCTTGCTGGCCCAGCGCCTCCCATGGCAAGAGACAAGCAATGAGGGAGAAACCCGCCTACACTAGCTTCTGCCGCAGACCCTGTGGAAATTTCCCACAAGCTCACCAATCTTGGGAGTGGAATAATCCACTCCCAAGATCTTTGCCCCATCTCAACAGTCCTACTGTTTCCTCGTCTATCCAAAGGGGATTCAAGTTCAGCATGAACTTCGGACAGGACCAACCATCCTCAGACCACAGCAGGATCACAGGATCACACTGTTTCAAAGCAGTGCCAAAAAATCCAGCCGAGCATCAGGGGGGCAAGGGCCCAGGGCCCAGGCCCCTCCACTGACAGGCTCCCTACCTCATACCACCCACCTACGGAGACTCAGCTGGATCCCACACCTCAGTGCGAAGAGAAGAAAATAGAGGAGAATATAGGAAAGAATTTTTAATGAAATGTGAAACAGTACAAACTTTAAACAACTGCAAAAAAAAAAAAAATACTGGCCTTTATTATTTTTTTAATCTGGATAGGAAACAAATAATCATTAGCATCATGATCTCTGACAAAGCTGAATTAGGGACAATAGCCCACCTCCCAAACCCGACATGTATGCCCGTGGAACCCTGGCAGGGTTGCTCATTGAATTCTGTTTTGGGAGGAAAAGAACACAATCGATTCCTTGCAGAATCAAGAGTTAGCTACCCTGCCTTGTGGGGAAAGGGTAGGGAACAGAGCTGAACAGTGCCACTAGAGGGTCCGATCTGTGAGCCCCTCCACAGTCATGATCTGTGCGCCCCTCCAGGACAAGAGTCAAGTTGTAAGCCACACAATAGGATCACTCTATGTAATAGAAGGGTCACGCTCAGAATGCCTGTCATTCTGGTCTTCTAAATACGTACTGCTTGTCATGACATATCAATTATTGACATACTGTCTCTCAAGTAAATGTTTGTTTTTTTTAAAAAAGGTAATAAATGAAAAAAAGAGACAAAAAAAATCTCAGGACAGTCCTGCTACAATGCTGTATATGGTTAGATTTTGAAATTTTTGTGCAAAAATATGTAATTGTTTATTCATATTTTTAAAATATTTTTTTATTTTCTTTATTTTTTTTCTCTATATTCTGTAGAGACTTAAAGTTTAACATATACTACTGGATGGAAAATACCTTTTCCGTGTTATGCCTAAGATGTTAGATATTCAGACAGATAGTGAGGTTAAACCCAACTACATATGTTGTAGGGTAATAATAAGCTTCTGCCATGGAGAGTTAGCAACCTAAGTTTGCAGATCAAAAATTAGAGAAAAAGAAGGGCTGCAAGGACAGCCAACATTTTCGCCCTAGCCTTTCAAGGTCAGTGAAGACTCAGGACATAGGAGAACCTATACTGTAACATCATGTAACTCAGTTGTGTCCCAAATTTTCTGATCAAGGGGATTATGGAGCAACAGAGCAATGTGATTGATGATGTAGAGTGTGCCTAAGGAGAGTCACATGGAGAGAAAACACTCTCTCAGGCTTTCATAGAGGGTAACTTGGTCAAGCAATGGCTGTGACTCATCCACATGGCTGACACTGACAAAGGATGTGCAAACTACAGTACAGGGTTGCAGAATAAATCCTGAGAGGACTTGACTGATCTTATCAGATACAAAAGTGTCATTTCTTGTTGTATACGTCTTGCTTTATCTTGGTCTTAACAATCCAGCAGAAAAGTATACAAACGAGGTATAAGAAGTCAAGCCATATTTTTTTTTTCTGTGTCAGTAAGTCAAGACATATTAATATGCTGAGCTGTGAAAGGCTCAAGTCAACAACTTCTGACATTGCCAGTCCTATGGACAACCCACTACTATTATGGACTACTGGACTATATTGGATTATTTTGCTGAATTCACACACCTACAATATTTAAATGGCAATGGACAGTCGCCGGAGGAGGCCTGGCGCGGCGGCGCGGCGTTGGGGGTTTGGTATGAACAGGATTCGGATTCACGTCCTGCCGACCAACCGCGGGAGGATCGCGCCGCTGCCCAGGGCCCAGGAGCCGCAGACTTGCTCCTTCACGCATCGCGCGTGCTCGCAGCCCCGCCTGGAAGGACAGGAGTTCTGCATTAAGCATATCCTCGAAGACAAGAATGCGCCCTTCAAGCAGTGCAGTTACGTATCCACGAAGAACGGAAAGAGATGTCCCAGTGCTGCCCCGAAGCCAGAGAAGAAAGATGGTGTGTCGTTCTGTGCTGAACATGCCCGAAGGAATGCTCTTGCACTGCATGCTCAGATGAAGAAGACCACCCCAGGGCCTATGGGGGAAGCACTCTTGTGCCAGCTGAGTTCCTATGCAAAGACCGAGCTGGGGTCTCAGACTCCAGAAGGTATCCGTAGTGAAGCCAGCCGAATACTGGAGGAAGACAGCTGGAGTGATGGGGACCAGGAACCCATTACTGTGGATCAGACATGGAGAGGTGACCCTGACAGTGAAGCTGATAGCATAGACAGTGACCAAGAAGATCCCTTGAAACATGCTGGTGTCTACACAGCAGAAGAAGTGGCCCTGATCATGCGTGAGAAGTTAATTCGTTTGCAGT